CTTGTGGCAATAAGAGAATATTACTGTTACTATTTTAAAGCTACAAATATGTGTAAAATATACAACATCACTCAAGTACTATTAGTGTACTTAGCTTTTATACACTATCTTGCCTCCAAGGTATTCGATGCACTGTCAAGAAAGCTTAGTTTATGAAACCTTCCTTTTACATTTTGGGAACTGCTGTGCCCTTGATATGTTTTATAAACTATTGCCTCCCAAAGTAGAAACTAAAAGGAACTTCAAAGTCATTTAAGACCCAAAGGAATGTGAAACAACCAAGAACTAATACTAAATAGAGAATATTAAAGAAGAAAATTTCAGAAGAAAGGAAAAGGATATGAATTCCACAGAACAAATATGTAGTACGTTGCATATGTAAATTCCCTTCCCATTTTCAAAATGATTTTTTGAAACTCTCTGGTCAACCCAAAATTCCAACATGCCTTTCCTTACTTAAGATGATAATCTCACCTTAGACCAGTGGTTCTCATAAATGAGCCATTTTGTCTTTCATGAGGCAGCAGGCAATGTCTAGTGACACTGGCAGTCGCAGCAGAGATGGGCAGAGTGGGAGTGTCAGTGCACTACAGGCATCAAGTAGATAGAGACCAGAGATGCTGCTAAACTTCTACAATGCACAGGACAGCCACCCAACAACAAAATTATCCAGATTCTGGATAACAAAGATTATCCAGAGCAAAATGGCAATGCTTAAGAAATACTGACTTAGAGGTCTCTGAAATAATTTGAAGCCAAAAGTTAGGAGCTCAGTGAACTTACTCCCAAATCTGAAACCTACCTCAATCTGCATCCAAATTCTAGGCCTTCCTTCCTCCAAAGTGTCCGGACTCCTATTTAAGCCCAGTTCTTTCACTTTGAGAACTCCAACCCCTTTGCCTTCTCAAGTTCATTGCAACTGAAAAATGATACTCTCTCTCTTCTCTCAAAATTTTTTTCCATTTCACTGAATTCTAAAGAATACAAACTAACAAAGAAATATATACAAGACCACCGCAATAAAAACACCTCCATCGATCCCACTTCCCACTCTCCTACAGGACATTTCCTGAAAAGTTGTCAGCATTCTCCATCACTACTTCCTCACCTCCCTGTCTACATTTAACCCACTTCAACTTGACCATTGAAACTGCTCCACTGAAACTACTCTTCATGGTCACCACTCACCGAAGCCAAGTCGCTTCTCTACTCCTCTCACTTCACCTCGCAATATCATTCGAAAAAGCCATAATTCTCTCTTACAGAAACACATTCTTCTCCTGATTTTCATGAAGGCTCCCTTTTCTATTTTTCTTCTTACCTCTCAGGTCACAGATTCTCCCCTCTGGCTGGCCTCTACAAAATCAAGCACTGTAGTCTTTGGTCCAATGTCAAGTTTCCTCTGACTACCCAGTCTCCCCAGCTACTAGTCAGTCCACAGCTCTAAATACCATCCATATGTTGACTCTCAAATACCTCTCTCTAGCCCTGGGCTCTTCCCAAAGCTTCAACTCCCTACTTGATACCTCCACTTAAATATGTCTAATAGGTATATTGAAGGTAACGTCTAAAATATAACTCTTTTCTCTACATTCTCTCACTTGCCCATAATCATGCATATGCCCTATTATTCCTCCAGGTTTCCAAATTTCTCTACAAAATTTGTTTTGCGTTAAAAAAAACCTAAGAATCGGTGCTCCAATTTTTCTTTAAATCTCCTCCCCAAATGTAATCCACCAGCAGCTCTACCTCTAAAATATATACCAACTTTAATCATATTTTTCGTACTATCACTACTCTAGTACAAGTCACCTTTATCTTCTACCTTCATTAACTTCCCATTGCAGTTAGGAGAAAATCTAAACTCATTAACATGACTTAAAAGTCATAAAGAATATGGCCCCTGCCTTTCTCTGGACTTCAGCTTATACCAAAGCAAAACCCTCAACACCACACTTCAGCCAAATAAGCCAAATTCATCCCTGCCTAAGCGCCTCTGTATTTGCTGCTCTGTTTCCTAAAGAGTCTCCCTGTGGCTTTTTACTTTATTGGCTCTTCATACAGGTCTCATCTCAAGTAATCTCAACAATCTGGCCTTCCTATCCCCCTCTGAATTACCCACAACCTAATTAGACTCTCATATCTATGTGTTATATTACCTCAAAGAATCTATAACTATGAAGTTATCTTGTTTTATTCATTCACTGAGTGCTGGTCTGGCCTTACATACTGTAAGCTCCATGAGAGCAGCAACCTCATTTGTTTTAATTGTTAATTCCCAGAACCTACAAGTGTCAGGCTTATACTATGTGCTTAATAAATATTAAGTAAATAAATATATTTAAGGTTCAATGAAGAATACAAAGTTCTAAGATACAATTACCACCATTTGAAAATAGGAATGAGGCAAAAGAATTCAACCCAGACATCTAAAACAACAGGCCATAGATTAATTATTAGGGGAGGAGAGTAAGATGAGAATGAACATCAAACACTCAAATACTCTGATGCTGTATCTTAACTACTATTTTTTTAAATTTTTACATGTTGTAAAAATAAAGAATATTTGTTCACATTAGTGTCAATTTCTGTGTGGGGTTTTTTGTTTATTTGTTTTTTTTTTTTTTTTTGATTGGTATACTTTGTATCACTATCCAAAGTTATTGGCCAACTATACAAGATTGTTTAATAGAACACTTCTAGCGATGCTTTAAGGTTCTTTTTTATCTAAAAAGTTGGTTGTTTCATTAAAAAGCCAGAAAAGAAATTATCTAGCTAAAATAATTCATAATGCCATATGTTGAAAGTTTTTTTTTTTTTTTTTTTTTTTTTTTTTGATTGGTATACTTTGTATCACTATCCAAAGTTATTGGCCAACTATACAAGATTGTTTAATAGAACACTTCTAGCGATGCTTTAAGGTTCTTTTTTATCTAAAAAGTTGGTTGTTTCATTAAAAAGCCAGAAAAGAAATTATCTAGCTAAAATAATTCATAATGCCATATGTTGAAAGAAAGGTCAATAGAAACAAAGTGGGCATTAGAACATACCCCTGTAATGAAAAGGCAAGGAAAGCCAGGAGGGTAACTAAGACAAAAACAGAGAAAGTAGTGTTGACTGCCTGCTCACAAGAAAAGCCTGAGCACCACCTATTCTTAAGCAAAATGTTGGCACTCATTGATATGTGGAGTTTCCAAATAATAGTACCTTGCAAGTAACTACACATCCAGTGTATAGACTTCAAAATATTTGAGGTAGAAATGGAGGTTAAATAATGCATGTTCATTTAGGAATAAGAAATGAACATAGTAAAAATTAGGATACAATATCATTCATCATGGAAAACAATGTCTACTTGTACATTTATTGTAACTAATAAGGCTGGAATAGATTAAAGTTACTGTGGCATACTTTTCCTCTAATGACTAAATTTACAATTGTGGCATGAAGTCGGAAGAATTAATTGTTAAACACTTGTCTTTCACTAGGCACCTGAAGAGAATTCAGCAATAACTTTCTAGAGTTTATTAGAAAAAAAAAGAATTTTTAAAAAAATTTTTCAGTTCTATTTTGGAGAGTTAGCATATAGGACAGCTTCAAATGAAAACTCCTACAAATTTCACTAATCAAAAAAAGAAGAAAACAAAAAGAGGTGGAAGGAAGAGACAGACGCAAAGAATGTTTTAAGGTATCAAGAAAAAAATATCAAAGTACCAAGAAAAAAACTGATACATTATCTAAGCTCTAAGTTGGCTAAAACCAAATAGAACTAGAAATAACTAAATAAAAAGTGGAAAAAAAGAGAACCTACAATTGCTGAATAAATAATACCCTAATAATGGAAAAAAAAAAGTTTTCAAAATATGAAGAAAAAAATAAAACATTAAAATGGATTGTTTCCCCTTCTAATTACTGGTATGACATTTAGACTTAACAAGTATAAAGTAATGCATTAACTAGATCTATATATTTTCTTCTTTTAGGGGATATTTAATAAACAGACACTAAGTGTTTATAGGTAATATTTTTACTTCTTTATATGGATGAATTCTTAAAATCTTAAAATCTTGCTCAAACAAGTATAATGCAGTCTCATAGATTAAAACATACAAAAACCAATTAGTACCCAGAAAGTGACTACTAATTTAGGCATGGACCCAAAACGACTACTTAATCTAAGAGAAAGTTCAAAATTTCATGAAAATACTTACATTAGGAATTTTGAGATAAAAACATTTCCCTACAAAATCTAAACAAATCAAATATTCTAAATTCAAAACTGATTTCCTATCCAATCAAGTATTCTAAATTCAAAACTAATCTCCTATCCAAGCACTAATTATACAAGGGATCACAGTAGTTCTATTATATCAGAATACATACATATACATATATATACATCACACATATGTATATTTACCTATTTTAACAGCTTTCAGAGATGAAAATATCCTAGAAGTTTATAATCATGTGTTGTACATTTGGAATTACACTATGGCATTTTAAAATAAAAAGAATATTGAAACACTCTGAAAATGAAAAAAATCTTTTATCCAAGAAACACAGTTGTATAAAGAGCCACAGAAATTTTTATATAATTTTTATAGAATTTTACTCCAAAATGACACTTATTTCTCAGAGGAAATGACCTCATAATGTTAAGATCAACCATTTAATTGTCTATGTCTAAAATTATCAAAGGTATATTACTTTGTCCAATAATAAAAAGTAGACAAAACCCAATGATACCACTAAAAATAGTCATTTTCTCCTAAAGTAATGTTTCAACCCAAAATATAAAATGTGAATTAAGTTTAAATTAAAAAAAAAAAAGTAGACATCCTATTCATTGAGCTACTTGAAATTATCTTATAGTACCTGAGAGGCCATCTTTCCAAGAAACGTTGTGAACAAAGCACTCTGGAGCTACACTGCAGAGCTTCAAATCCCAGTTACAGCACTTACAAACTGTATGTTACTTCACCTCTCTGAACCTTGATTTCTCGCCCATAAAAACATGGATAATATTATCTACCACATAGAGTTGTTTGAGAGACCAAAGTTAATATACGTAACCCACTTAATACAAGGTCTGACACATAGTAAATATTCAATAGATGTTTGTTACTATCTTCATAACACTACAGTATTAGGTACATACTAAGGGCTCAACAAATGCTTGCTAAATGAATGACTGGCCTATGGAAAAAAACTATAGTTTTCACAACAATCAGAATATATCAAAATCTAACTACAAAAATATTATCAAATTATTTAAGCCATTTGGCCCAATTCAGGAAGTTATTTTGGTACCATCCATAACTAAGATAACTGAAATAATACTATTTCATTCAAATACTTAAGTACCATGTGCTAGATACTAGGGATACAACAACAAAGATATAGTACCTCCCTCACAGAAGATTAAGCTAATAAGAAACTTGAAAGTAATCTACATAACTGAAAAGGAACTCAAAAATATTCCAGTCCACACACTTTATCTTTAAAATGAGGAACCTGAAGTCCAGAGAAGTTTGGTCAAAATAAGAGTCAAGACTAGAACTCAGGTCTTATTCCCAGCCTAGTGGTATCGTGACTCAAAATACTCGATATGAAACAAAGATTAAGATCCTGAACTGCCACTAACAAAAGTCCTTCTAAATTATTTATTAATTGCATTAATGTAAATCAAATAAGCTTCAAGCAAGTTATGAGAGGCACAAAGATAAAACCTATTATGATTACTTAAAACATTTTCAGATTAACAAAAGGCATTCCTCACATTTGCAGGGTTGTCAGATTAACAGTTCTTATGTCACTTAATAGTCTCCTTCTAATCTACCATGTTAATTGCCACTATGCTGCATTTCCATTCTCATTTGTTCCCAGGTACAAAAATAAAACATATACTAGACTGCTAAACTTAAACACTTAACTGCTTAGAATTTGAAAAAAAAAAAAATCAAACAGGATGATCATATTTACCTTAAATGTACCATTTTGATTCTTCATGTAAGAAACCAAAAATATATCCACTGGTAGAAGTGCTGATGTGATAAGTGCAATCGCTAGAGAAAAAATTGCTGTTATGGTAGAGATCACTTCACTTTCCCGCTGACTTTGGTATTTGCGAACATATATCCAGCAGAATGCCAAAATAGCCTAAAAGAGAACAAAAATAAATGTTGTTATTATCCTATGTATTTCCTAATACTGATTTTAGTATGTGTTCCAAAGTTTCCAGTGGGAAATTTCATGTCAAGTAAAGATTCTTTTAGATCTATAAGAAATGCCCACAACCCCTTCTAAATTTGTTCGAGATTTGGAATTTTCAAAGCCTATTTCATGAATGCAGTACCTCGCTATGACACACACACACATTATTAACAACAGTGCTCAACTACAAATATTTTCACCAAACACAGTGCAAACATTAATGGTTTCACACATGTTAAACTTGTAACTAGATTTGAATAATTTTTCCCTGTAAATCTCTCCATCCTGAAGGAAATATAACTAAAAGATGTTCTATCCTAGGTTTATTACTGAAGCATCACAAAATATAACTTGGATGGAAACTCTTAAAATATTTCAAGAATACCATTCAACTAAAGATTGAATGCCAAAAAAAAAGATTAAATGCCAATAAACTCATCATACAATTAACACATTATACTATAATTTAAAATTCAAAGGACATTAAAGAAAAGTCAACACAAAATAGATATATGTGCATATGTGCATAGCAGGAAGCTTTCCCATGAAAACAGTACACTAAGAAGTAGTGAGGGTGACCTATCTAATCAACCAGGTACTCTTAATAGTTACTTAATAGCCTTTCTAGTGACTAACACACAGCATAGGACTTTAGTGATTCTCCAGCTTTAGGGAGCATAAGAATCACTTGGAGGGCTTGTTAAAGTACAGATTGCTGGGCCCCACCTCCAGTTTTCAGATTCAAGAGGTCTAGGGTGGGGACTGAAAATTTGTAACAGGTTTCCAGGAAGGGCAGTTGCTGGTCCAGGGATTACACTTTGAGAATCTCTGATCTAATGAATTACACAGGGTTGCAGATAGATACTAAATCAGTGGTTCTCAGCCTTGACTGTGATTCAGAATCATTATGCCTGAGAGTTGTGGGACAAAAACCTTGTTTTGTCCTTTTACTCTTAACAGATACATCTGTTACTTCCTTTCCAGACATCCTAATTCAGGAGCCTGAAGGGAACTAATAAAACCAGCTAATTAGTTTCATAACTTCCAAATTCTCCTTCCACAATCAAGATATAAGAACAGTTCTATCACTCCAGAAAATAATCCCTTGCCCTCTTGTAGTAAACCTCTCTCTCCACCCCCAGCCCCTGACAACCACTATCTGTTATCTGTCCCTATAGTTTCTGCCTTCTCTAGAATGTCATAATGTACTCATATAATATGTCCTCTTTTGAGTCTGGCTTCTTTCACTTGACATAATGCATCTGAAATACATCTAAGTTGTTGCATGTCATTCTTTTATATTGCTGACATTTCAAATGGTGACAGAATGTCCGTTAAAAAATTTAGTGAGAAGATAATCAAGACTTTGTTACCTGGATGTTGGACCAAAAAAAAACCTAGGTTCAAAAATCTTGTTTAACTGCTTGCTAATTTTTTTGTTTTGGAAAACATTTTGTTTTGGAAAACAGCTATTTATGAGTTTGGGTTTCTTTTTTTTTTTTGGTCCGTTTTGAGACCGGCCGCACCTCTCTCAGCCAGTGAGTGCAGTGAGCGTACTGGTCATCCCTATATAGGATCCGAACCCACGGCAGGAGCGCTGCCGCGCTCCCAGCGCCACACTCTCCCGAGTGCACCACAGGCTCGGCCCTGGGTTTCTTTTTTTTTTAAAGCAGTTTCAGGTTTACAGAGAAATTGAGCAGAATACAGACAGTTCCCATACACATGTCCCCCCCCACCCCACACACAATTTCTCCTATTATTAACATCTTACATTAGCGTGGTACATTTGTTACAATTATAAGCCAATAGTGATATGTTATCATAAACTCAATTTATCAGGATTCTGTCTCTGTGTCATACAGTTCTATGGGTTTTGAAGTAATGTCCTTTTTCAGAGAGTAGGACTGACGCCATTTAAGATAACCCCTCCATTTTGTGAAAGTTTAGGCGGGAATGTGGGGGTGGGATGGGAAGAGCTCCGCTAACTGCAAAATTAGCTTATGTACTGTTGGCTTGCTTGCATTGGCTAATAACTCCCAACGCAGTGATCCGGCGACCGAGTTGCCACGCTTGCAGCTTCAAAAACCGAAAGTAAAAATGGCTTGGGGCCACACTCTGAATTGGCTGGTGTGGTCCCCGCAGCTGGAAATAAAGTTTTTTTTCTCTTTTTCATATCAGTCTCCGAGGGTGATTTCTCCCGATGCCTAAAACAGTTTTTCCAAGAGCATAATGTCATATATTCACCATTACAGTATCATAAAGAATAGTTTCACTGCCCTGAAAATCTTTTGTCCTTCATCCTTCCCTTTAATGGGCTTGTTTTTAAATAAATTCATAAATATCTTAAACAGTCCACAAATTTGAAGTTACTGGAAGCTGAGCCTTATCTTTCTAACCTTAGCAGTACTTGACACCAAGTGATAAGTACTGGTAAGTGACAAGTCAAAATTTTTGTTGGATTTTAAGAGTGAAATATCTTCACTTTTACAAACTTCAAAGTAATAGATACTACCACAAAGAAAGGAGCATGCCAACATCATGCAGACAAGCTGGCAGAAGTTAGGCCAAAGGTTCCCTCACTTTCTGGTTTCAGATTCCCTTTAGAGTTTTAAAACTGAGAACCTCAAAGAGCTTTCTCTGTTTATGTATGTTATATCTATCAACAGTTACTGTATTATAAAACAAACCAAGTGTCCTCATCTGTAAAATGGCAATAGCAGGCTGTAAGGATTAAATGAGATGTGGAGTTTAGCACCGTGCCTGGTCATCAACAGGATTCTGACATTAGCCGAGCGCCACAGTTGGCGTAGCCTGCGACAGGATTCTGAGCAGGTACAGGAGTTTTGAATATGCTCTGCCCTATGGCCACTTTCCTATTGACCAGGATCTGGTTGCTGCACACTGTACTGCAAGGCAGCATAGACCAGGCACTACAATGGAAAACCCCTTGGGAGGGGAGGAAATGTAGCTATCCTTGAGCATGTGGTGCCCAGTGGCCACTTTTTTGCTGACCAGAGCCTGGCTGCTGCTCACTATGCTGCAAACTGATCAAGATTTGCAGAAGAAAGCAGACTTGTTGGAAGCACGGAAAAATGTCCTGGAGGATGACGTGCAGTGACTGGCCACTGCTGCCTCTCACACCAGGGAAGATGACCAACACAGTGGTGAGTTGGGGGAAACCATGCGTCTCCAGGCACGACCTGTTGTGCATGAGAAATTGAGACAATAAAGCAGAAACAGGGAGAGTCCCTGGCTGCTGCAACTATGGGACCTAGGGGTAGATGGTATAACCTGTACTTTAGAGACGATGTAGTAAACGCATGTTGCGTTTGTCTGAGGGCAAAAGGCTCAGAGGGTGCCACTTAAACCTGAAGGCTGGACAGGTGCCATATAAACCCGAGAAAAGAGTGCCATATGCAGATGGGCAGATGGGCAGATGACCTGAGGACAGGTGCCTTTGCAGAATTTCAAGTATGTTTTCACCTGGTGAAAAGGTGGAAAAGTTAATCTCCATTACTACATGCCCGACTCAGTGGCAGCAGTTACAGGAGAGCCACAGTTATGCACAGTGGCAGGGCAACCACTCCTTGACAGACTTGGCAAATGCAGCTCTTTGAACTGTGTGGGCAAATGCTGCTGAACTGCCTGAGACTGAGTGAATAACTGGTGTAAACTGAGCTGATTGAAATAATTCAGGAGCCGGGGATGGGGCAGCAAGATGCTAAGAACCAATTAGAAAAAAGCTCTAAAGGCATTCGAGAAGTCTGGATGGGTGCCCCACCCATCACAGACCCTGAGGGCATCTGAGAAGTTTGGGAGAGCGTCCCTCCCATCCTAGGAAGACTGAGTCATCCTGGAGGACAGGCCTGGGGCACTGCCACCCTCAGCAAACTGCTCCCTACATCCCAGCCACTCTGGCTGGAGCAATCCTGCCTCAGCACCTCTGAAGAGCAAAAGCCAAAAACCTTGGTGGCGTTCACATTGTGTTAAGTTGTACGTGAGACCAGTGGAGGCATGGCAGCCTCCACCTAGATTTTGGAAGATGTATGAAAAAGTCGGGAGACTCAGCTGGAGACCTGCTACAGGGGTGAGGCCACTGCGGAGGTCATCTACAGAACAATGTGGAGCAGAAAAGTGAGGTTGGAGCCCCCACAGAGAACCCCCACTGAGGAAATGTCCAGTGGAGCCAGGATGGCAGGACTGCCACCGGGAGCCCAGAACCATGGGGCTGCTGGCAGTGTGCAGCGCTGGCCTGGAAAAGCCACAGGCACCAGGCAGCTCAAAGGGCTGCACTTGGCAGAGCTGTAGGAGCGAGGTTGCCCAACGCTTCAGGGATCCAGCTGCCCCAGTATGCTTAACATTTGCCCTGCTTGGGTTTTGGATTTGTTTGTGGGCCTGTTTTTCCTTTCTATTCCTCCCTTCTGGAATGGGAATGTGTACCCAATGTCTGCCCCACCGTATCTTGGAAGTAGATAAACTTGTTTTTGACTCTTTACAGGTTCACGGGGACTTTTGCCTTTAGTCTCAGATGAACTTTGGACTTTTGAGTTGGTACTGCAATAAGCTAAAGACTTTTGGGACTGGGATGGAATGTGCTATGTAAATGTAAGGGTCATTTATCCTTGCTAAAGAAACAACCTGGAAGATTCTGAACACATAGATTACACAGAGAGGGACCCTGAAGGGGTGGATTGTTGGGAAAATACAATAGTTTAATCAGGCTCCCCTCCCCTCTGGGCAGGTTGGGGGTGGTTCAGCACATTCTCTGTAAACAAACTGTGTGGGTGGGTGGAGTTGGTGCACATGCACAGCACTATGGTTTGGCTGGCAACTGCCTCGGGTGGACACCACTCTGCACAGCCATGTTCTCCAACCTACAGCTTCCAAGGACCTGTTTGCCAGTTACCTAGCTCATAGACCTGCATGTGAGGGGTTTGGGGACCCAGCCTGGCATACTGCTGATGTCAGCAGGATTCCAACATTAGCCTAGCTTTACAATTGGCCCAGTCGGCAGGGTTATGGGCAGGTAACAACTGGTATAGTCGAATAGCTTTACACAGGCCACAGTTACTGCTTAGCAAATTGTTGTTAATTGTTATTAAGTATCATATGAAATAACATCTTACAGTATTTCATAAAAGGAACTAACATATAACTTTTCCTTAACAATTACAAGGAAAAATTTAGAATAGTCCACCAGTCCCTCCTAAGAAATTCTGATTTAATTGGCCTGGGAATTGGGATTTTAAAAATTCCCTAGGTGCTTTTAATGAGTGGCCAAGACTGAGAACCACTGGGGCAAAGAAAGGAATGAGAATAGATGAGTGTTTCTTAAACTAATAAGCATAATACTGCCAGGGATCTTGTTAACCTGAAGATTCTGATTCAGTAGGGCTGGGGTCATATATTTTGTATTTCTAACAAGTTCCCAGGTGATGCCCACACTTTAAGGAACAAGAATAAACTTACAAGACAGAAATGGAGACAGTCTCACACAGAAAAGATAAATGCAATTTATAAATGCAGTTTAAAGGTGGTGTGAGCCAAATTATTAAAAACCTTGGGAGCTTAGTAAAAAAGTTTAGATTTTACATAATAAACATACATAGTTAGATTACAGGTGTGAGGGACCAAATCCAACCACTCTTTATGTGGTAAAAGAAACTGAATTCCATTCTGTTTGCCCAAGATCATAAAAACAGACAACATTTATGTCCTGATTCTTTGGTAGATGACTGGCAGCAGTACACAAAGCGTGAAGAACTCTGGTAGTCCCCAGAAACCTTTCTGGGGATTCAAAAATTAAAAACTATTCTCATATTAATACTGAGATGTCATTTGCCTTTTTCACTATGCAGTTATTTGCACTCATGGTTCATAAGTCATGGTGGGTAAAACTGCTGGTGCATTAGCATAATCAAGACAATGACACCAAAATGTACCAGTAACTATTGCACTCTTCACCACCATACACTCAAAAAAATACAATTTAACAAGGCTGTGTTTGATGAAGCAGTAAAAATAAACTTTATTAAACCTCAACCCTTGAGTCTTTTAATACTCTGTAGGGTAAAATATGAAGCATGCATAAAGTGCCCTGCTGCATACCTAGGTAGGATGACTGTCTTCAAGAAAAGTACCTCAACACTTAGAGTTGAAAACCAAATCAGCCACTCTCTTCAAGGAACGCCATTTTTACTTGAAAGAACAACTGACAAACTATGGTTATACAGATGTAGGTATTTGACAGATTTTGTCAAATAAACAAAGGGAACCTATCTATCACTTCAAGAAAAACTGACAATATTTGTTACCAATGTCAAACATCGAGCTTTCAAATGACAATTAGAATTTTGGAAAACCTGTGTCCATGATTTGACAACTCCTTGATACTTAGAATTTTTGGAGACATTTTGGACAAGATAGGGGGTGATTTAAGAAATACGACGTTTTGATATTGTGCAATGAAATGTGTCCATATATGGAAGATGTACATAACTCAATGAACCAGTATTCTCTACACGACCAATGCATCATGTTATAAAGCCATGCATTGGTAAAAGATCCATTCAAAGTGTAAGATGGACTAATGGATTTTAATGTAAAAGAATGAAGTTCATTAATGGGTTTCAGATTCCATACTGCAAATAACCTTTAATAAGCTTCCACTTGAGCTTTGATGTAGTATCAAAGAACATCCACAATTATCTGAAAAATACTCCTCTGCTTCTGACTACATATCAGTGAAACTGGATTTTCTTCCAATACTTCAACCAAAATAACATATCCCAAAAGATTAAATGTAGAAGCAGACATAAGAATACAGCTCTCTTCTAATAAACCAGGAATTAAACAGATCTGCAGGGATATAAACAATAGCCCTTATTACTAATTTTTTTCCAGTCCAAAATATGTTTCAAACTCCTTAATTCCCTTCTCATTTTACATGTTCCTGCTGTAATGTCTTCAGTGGCTCCCCTTCATCTATCCAGGGCCTACCTCAATTCTCACTTCATTTCACTATCGTTCTCTATTCCAGTCCTATTTCATTTATAAAATCGTACTTTGGCTTTCTGTACTTAAAGTACATGCTTCGAGAATTTTAGTTTCCCCACCTATCTTCAGGACCTCTTAAAGGCCATGTTTTGTTTTTTGCATGCTCCTTTACAGCACAACTGCTGTACCTTAAATGTTTATTAATTAATAACTGCCAAGATAATCCCACAAGACTTTGATACCGGTTACACGCTTGTCTGTTTGCTTCTAAACAATCTGAATCTGATGGACTGGAAAAGCCAGCAAATTTTCCAAGTATGGGACTGGATAGCCCTAGAGACCACAGCCAACCTTTAGAGATTCAATTTCCTCCATGACAAGAGTAAAGTATGTTCCAGTGTAAAGGCAGTTTTATTATCTGTGAGACTAAAGGTAGCAAGAGAAGTAGTAAGAGAAGGCTTTTCTTAAATTTTCACTCTATCTTTTTATTTATAGAGTTTCTGCTGCAAAAATTTACTAGAAAAACATACTACATTGGTGTCAGACACCCTAGTGAAATCTAATAATTAAAGTCAAATCAAACAAGTCTGATTTCCAGAACGAAAGGTTTTTGTTTACTTTGTTTTTTTGTAATGCAAAAGGTCAAAATACATTGGAACACTGAAAAAACAACGACAGGATGAAGGCAATGAGGAAAGAGTTCTGAGAATGTGGAGGGTATAATGAGAAACAAATTGAACTCCGGAATAAAATAAACCCAAGGTTTTTAATATGGGATAGGGAAGTAACAACAGGCCGCTGTGGGCCATTACAGTCCACATTTCGCTCACGGAATAAGCACAAATAATGTTAGTGGAAAAGAAGTCACCTGAAGTCAAACAGGTAGTAGTATACCCTGATATTGGCATTAAAGAGGGCTACAGGTCTGCCCTAAACAACTTTGTACATTTATCAAAAAAGATTGGAAGGAAATGTGACACCTGGAAGTCAGAACGAGCAACTCACGTCATCAAGGCAGAATCGCACAAAGGACACAGAAGGTTGGAGACACATCAACCCCAAGTGTAGGGAACTTGTGGGGTGGCGGGAACATTTAAAGCAGCAGACACGTCAACAACGCCACCGCCTACTGAACTGGCAAGGATCCGGTGCTGCCGCCCCTCACCGTGAGCTCCCGTCTCACAGGGACCAACGGCCAACCACGCCCTTCTCAACCCCGAGAGTCTCTTCCGTCCTCAAACTCTCCCGGCCCCAGTGTCCAAATCAGGGATGAGGGCAAGAGTTTCCAAAATGGAAACCTGCAACATTAGACGTCATCAATGAAAACAAAGCAAAAGCGGCCGGAAACCAGTGCCCGCTCCCCGGCCTTCCGAGCGCCACCGCCGGGACAGAAGAGCCCCCCACAGTCCGAGCTGAAAGCGGGGCGGGGCGAGGGTCTCCGGGGCCTGGAGAGGCCAGCTGAAGGACCGGCCCCTCCCTCCTCCCACCAGTCCAAACACTGGGAAAACTCCAAGCGCCTCCCCTACCAGTAGTAAGAGGCCAAATATGCACCAGCCGATCACCAGCTCTGCAGAAGCCGCGCCAGCAGCCACCGCCGCCGCCGCCATCTTCACTTCCGGTCCTGACAGGCCTGAGCGAAGGGGCTAGGGGAGGGGTAGGGGGAAAGGGAGAGCGTGCCAGGTACGCGGCACCCGCGCACCCTAAAGGTTAAAGGGGCGGAGGGGGTGGAGCAAGCGGTAGCCAAGGAGACCCGACCCGCGAGCGTCCCCTGGCGACGAGCCGGGAGGGGGCGGGGCAGCAAGGTTGGTTCAGGGGCGGGGCGCGCCCGGGACGCCGGGACGTCACCGCGCTGCCCTCTTCCGCGCCGACTGAAAGGCGGGGTCGTTAAAGCTGGGGATTGTCTGAGAGCGTGGAGCAAGCGGTAGCCAAGGAGACCCGACCCGCGAGCGTCCCCTGGCGACGAGCCGGGAGGGGGCGGGGCAGCAAGGTTGGTTCAGGGGCGGGGCGCGCCCGGGACGCCGTGACGTCACCGCGCTGCCCTCTTCCGCGCCGACTGAAAGGCGGGGTCGTTAAAGCCGGGGATTGTCTGAGAGCCCAGCAGCGTTTTTATTTTTTTTCAAAGCAGCCTTTTTGGAATATTTGACTCAGGCTAAATTGATGGGCTTGAAAAGCTGGAAAGCTGCACAAAGGATGGATTAGTTGGCTCTGGAGATCCAAGCCAACTTTAGGGTTTTCCACTTCTTTCCAAAAAATGAGGTTTGTCACTAGAGTCCAAGGCAGAATGGGCAGTGTGATTAGCAGAACTCCTCACCAGGTTGCAGGATTGGCTGACTCTGAATAAAAGTTTACCAGCTACCCAAATGACTCTTAATTTGCTGGCACTGGTGCCCAGCCCGGGTAACTGCTTGGCTGGACACTGCCTTATCATGTGATGTTATGGCCTTTCTGTTTAGATCTATGCATGCCTGTGAATTTCCATTGTGGCTTTATACACTAAAGGTATCTGAGTTTGTGAATATATTCATAATGAAATTGCAGGCTCCTGTAATATGCATAAGTGAACAAAACAGACACTGCCATAGGCCTATAGTTAAGTGCAGGGAGAGAATTCCTGGGATAGTTTGCCTGGGTCACATATTGGCACTTGTGCCAATATGCACTGGCACAAGTTCGCCGGGTGCATATTTAACCACTGAATTGAACAAACATAACTTGTGATGTAGTTTAAACACAAGATTATAAAAATGCCCTTATCTCTTTACAATTTATTATGTGATGATAAATTATACCTGACTTAGAACCTACACCTGGCTAGAAGCCTGCAGTAGAGAAGCGGTACGGTGGTCCTCCCTGTCAGGACAAAGTAAGAAGGGAGGAAGAGAATAGGGGAGAATACCGTTTTAATTTGAACTGGTGCCATCATAAGCTGGCTTCAAACTCTGTGGACCTGAAAATGTTTGAACTTGATTCTCTCTCCTGTAGTACATTCACGTCTCTGGAAACCTCACTCCTATAGTTTCCTTAAAATAAATAGAAACATCTCTATTCCAGGTAGTCACTTAGAATTCCTCCACTAGCCCAGGACCTACCGGGGTACACTTGCATAGAACTCTTTCTGCCAAGGTCTTCTAATTCTCTCCTAGAAGCCTACTTTGCTTGGGGGAGAGATCTAAGACAACTGTAAGTCAATTCTCCCACTTCACCCCACATAGCCCAAATCCCCTCTATAGAAAATGATCATACTACCTTGCACTAACAACTTTGGGAGCATAGGGCAATCCCAATGTAGCTGTATTCTCCTAGTTCTACATCAAAGAAATCAGCCCTTCTTGGATATCCTCAAAGGAGTCAGCCCACACTCTACAGTCAGCTGTAGTTCTCTCAGGCCTGAGTCAGGCACCATCCCTCTGTGTCTCCCAATTTCAGAAGCTGCATTTCAAATTCTTCAAATATCTCCCTTGAAGCCTTCCTTACTACACTAGGGGTTAGAGGGTAACACCCCACCTCAACTCTCTCCCATACACGTACCACTCTGAGGTTAGTAGTGGGGTTCCAAAGATCAGCAACAATTCTCATTAAATCTCTTCACCAATTTCTCTTCTCCTCTCTATAATACGGTTATTGAAATTTTATTGGCTGAGGGGTCCAAGAGTTATAGACTAAATTCTTCTTGATTCCCTTTTTAATTGTGCATGTAAAGGAGAATTTGTGGTTAGAAGGGAGACAAAAAGTGACCATAATCTCCACCACTTTAAATTATATGTAAGATTGGAGCTTTTAGTGAGTCTAGACTGAAACTTTTCAATATCTCGTGTACCCTCCATTCAATTAAGCCCGTTTAATAAGCTACTTCAACCCTTTTACTACCTTTGACTACCAAACCATTGAAGTAATATTGGGTGGTTGCTTGATATTCAGATTGGAAAAGCCTGATATTCCTATGTTGCTGAATAGAGTGATTAGTTGCAAGGAGGGTAGCAGTTGGAATCAGCAAAATTGAGAGAGGGAAAAGAAAAAGTGACACATCTGGGTAGGCAGAGGCATGAATAGTCCATTATTAAGTCTAGCCAAGATATGCTATTCACTTAACATATAGACCAGACCAGCAAGTATTGAACACATTCTCCTTTATGATGTGCTTAAATCTAAGAAACCTCTGAATCAGACCAGAGTTCTTTAAAAATAACAATACCTTTGTTGTTTATAATTACAAAGGGAATATATGTTCATTTATAAATATTTCAAACATGAATAATTTAGAAAAAGTTCTTATAAATTTACACAATCCTCCTCACCTAAGATATTTCCCTTTAAGAGCTCCAAGTTTTTTGTATGCATAGTCTAATGTGTTCGGTGAGGATGCAGAAAACTTGTAGATATTCCTTTCCTGCTCCCCTGGAGTTACTGTAGAATATATTTGACTTTACCCGCACCAAACAACTTACAGAAAGTACCAGGATTTCTGTGCACTCTGTTCCATTTTACATTTGAAGAAATGGCTCTAAGAAGACAATTAGTCCTAAGGGGTTTAATAAGAGGAGGCATTCCCGAAAACCTTCTATTAAAACCTAAACTTTCTTGGCTGTAGTAAGAGAGCTGGATGTCCTCGGGGAAAAAAAAGTTCGTGAGTTTGTGAGGAAGCAACTATTCCTCCCCTCATTCCTCTACCCTCAACTTTTTAATAGTTCCCCTCCCCTAAAGCCAGTTGAGAGAGGACAAAGAAAATAATCACCCATAAGGTTGTAGGGTGTGACCTAAACTTTGGAAGAGGCTTGCACCTTGTTGCAATTGCTGAGGGTGGCTGATTTACAAACATGTTTAATGATGAGCTGACATAAACACCTGTGCTGAGGAGAATCTTTGTGCAAAAAGGGTTTGGATTAAGCCCTCTCCGTATACCTCCCCTCCATACATGCACACACATATACACTCACACTAGCCCATGAAACTCACACTGAAGGCTTTGGTGGACTACACTTGAGAATCACCCTATCCATGTGCTTATTCCTGTGGAGGGCTAAGGAGAGATGCAACAATCTCTGTGGGAGGAGGCTTTCCCAAGAATTCTCTTGACCTAGGCCAGGAACACATGGACAGCAGAAAGTCAGGTAGCAGCCCCAAGTGAAAAACCAGACCAGGCAATGATGGCCTACAGAAAGATCACCTTGTTACTAAACCAGACAAATATAGAACTGTGGAATATTCTATAAAGCAAATGTAATTCACAGGGCCTGGTTTTCCGAAGGCTTGGAGTTTCAAATATTGACCTTGTGGAGGACTAGAAATTTTTTTTTTTTTCCTTTTTTTGTCTTTTTTCATGACCGGCAACGGATCGCAACCCTCAGTGTTGCGCCCGTACCGGACCGGGACCGGCTACGGGATCACAACCCTCGGTGTTGCTCCCGCACCTCGCTCAGCCAGTGAGCGGCCGGTCTGTATGTGGGATCCGAACCCTCGGCGGGAGCGCCGCCGTGCTTCCCAAGCGGTGCACTGTAGCAGTGCGCCACTGGGCCGGCCCTAGAAATTTTCCTCAGGCTATAAAGTCTCTGGTGTAAGACAAAGATTTGTGGCACAGCAAGGTTGCTGGCTCAAGGACAGTATTGATGGACAGAGAAGGAATGTTTGTTAAGATCAAACTGTTGTTGATAGGACCACTTAATTGCCTTACTGGAATGTCATCTGGCTTGTTTCACTGAAAGTTACCAGCCTATATTGTTAAACTATAACCCCATCTATGTTCTCTTCCTGTAACTTCCTAGTCTGGAAAATAAATGCAGGAAGAGAACCCCAATTTGGGGTTAATTTCCGAAGGAAGGGATGCCTCTCACTTGAGGGTTCCAGCAGGAGATTAACCACTTTGGGGTCTCTCACTGCTCAGAAGAGATGGGCTCTGAGTAATCCTTTGCATCTCTGTCACCCAGGCAAAGAGGGGAGACAAATCCGTGGGAGGAGAAGCAACACAAAGCAACAAAATAGAACAAAAAAAGAAAACTACTGTGAACACAGATGCCCAAACTCTTAACAAAAGAGTTCATGAAGCAAGGACAATCACTCTTCTCTTCCCTAACCCCCATAGCATTCAATGGGTTCCCCTCCCTGAGCTGGGGTTTGGGGGTGGGTTTGGGGTCTTGGAGGTACGAGAATGGTTTCTTCTTCTCTTTGTAGGGTACTTTTGGAGAACCAAAGGTAGGATTACAATCAAGGGACAACTGGGAGATAAAATAAGTAAAAATAATCTTACACTGGAATTGGTAGAAAGAACAAAAAGAATATTGAAAGTATTAAGAGGGAAGAACAATCTGGAAGAAAAATTTATATCAATGGGACAAAAAGGAGATAAAGCGAACAAAGAAAAAGACTGTTCTTTTCCCAAAACATGAAAACCAAGACATAGAGATTAACTAGGCCTAGAATTGCAGAGTAGAAGAGTGGATGCCTCAAGACTATTGGAGGGGTCTACCATCTAAAATAGCTCCATGGAGATGACTTCAAAACTTAGCCCCTCAAAACACAGTCAAGCTAACTTCGTAATGGGAACTGTGCTGGTGGGTGTGATTTGTTCCCTGAAATTAAATTTAGACTGCAATGAAATTTAGTTATACATCCAAATTAACTTTGTTTATTGTACCTCTGGATGTTAACATGTTGATTTTTTTAAAAAAATAGTTGATTATTATACATCTAGTTTTTAAAATTTGTTACCTTCTTGGAAACT